AGTATAATGATAAAAAAAACTACTACTATACAGTATAATCCGTTACTATTGCGACTTAATACCTCGCTGGGGGTGATCCATATCTCCAATTCAAGGCTAATTTGATTTATCATACTAGCACTATGTTTAATGCTTTTATCTACACACACACATACATATATTATCATATTTTATATACTTACATATCAATGTGGCACGTAACTTTTGCATTATTGACATAATTGAACAGTTTTCGCTGATCGTAGATGGCGCTGATGTCGTTTTTAAGCACCTATCGGATATTTCTGCGATTCTTTTTTGATTTGTGAAGGAAGGTTTTAGGGTATCGCTCTCATGAACGATACCAGTCAATACAGTCAACTGATGGAGTATAGACCTACTCTAAATAAGAGGGTTAATATTAGGGCCATAATTACTAGGCTCAGCAAGCGGGTAGGAGATCGCAATTCACTGTATAAAAGGTTCAGGTTTATCAGAGAGCGCTGCTACCCGGTCTCGGTCAAATGTGTAGTCCCTTAGTCGGGTATATGACACCCACGGGAAGAGTAGGGGGTGGTGACAAACGCATTCTATTCTGCCGTCACCACACGTCTTATAAGATTATTATGTAAATGATAACTTTCAAAGTAACTGACCCGTATTGACTTATGTAAAGTTATGTATTGATATAATAATAATTATATGGTAATCGCTGTAATTAATTACTGGGTAACGCATAAGTTTAAATACCACAGACAGAAACCGGGCAGCAGCGCTCTCTGATCAATCTGAACCTTTTTAACTCAGATCTCCGACCGGCCTGGTTAGCCAGGACATTGGGTACTTGTCTTAATCCTTACTTTCTTATCCTTACTAATATTATAAATCGTAAAGTGAGTTTGTTTGTTTGTTCCACTTTCACGCCGTAACTACTAAACCGATTGCATTAAATTTTTGCAGACGTAAAGTTAGTAGTCTGGATTAAATAATAGGGTACTTTTTATCCCGAAAAAAATGGATATTCCCGAGGGAATACAAAAGTATTGGTATAGATGGCGCTGTATGTAATGGTATATGTCACATAGGCTACTTTTTATCCTAGTCCTTTAGACATAACATAATATCACGCCTTTTATCCCCGAAGGGGTAGGCAGACGTGCACATTATGCCACTACAATGTAACACCCACTTTTCACTATTTATTTTATGAGTTCCATGTAATAGGAGGTGACCCCGGGCACAATTCCAGACTCCGTGCTACTACTGAGATTTTTTTTAAAACCCAATAATACTTTGCCCTACCCGGGAATCGAACCCAAAACCCCTTGCCCGGCAGTCGCACTTGCGACCACAGAATCCTCATTATTATAGAGTTTGCCGAACGAGTAAACAATTAAAATAAAATTATAAAAACAATAACTTCGTGTGCGTTTTTAGTAGTGTTCCGTAAGTTTTGTTTACACCCTGTGTTTCAATTAAAAACGCAACATGATACAAAACACTTGACTGAAATTAAAAATGCATTTTAATTATGAATAATGTCTGCAATCTCAACTTCAAACAGTTAATTATTCATAATTGTTCGCCAGATATGTCCAGACACATTTCCTAAGATTATAATTGATATTTTTATTGTCGTTTCTTGTTGTAAAACAAATGAGTTGTAATTAATGTGTTTTTGTTTAAGTGTTCTGATTGATGTGTCTGGCTAATTGGTGGTGTGATTGGACATGTGTCTGGTAAACGTGAGGTTTAGATTATTAAGAAGTTTTAATCTTTAGTTCTTTATTTTGGACATATTAAATCGTAAGACATATTATGAATAATAACATAACGTCACGCCTTTTATCCCCGAAGGGGTAGGCAGAGGTGCACATTATACCAATGTACAATGTATCACCCACTTTTCACTATTTATGTTATGGGTCGCAAGTGCGACTGCCGGGCAAAAGGTCTCGGGTTCGAATCCCGGGTAGGGCAAAGTATTACAGGGGTTTTAAAAAAATGCTGAGTCGTAGCACGGAGTCTGGAATTGTGCCCAGTATATGGCAATAGGCTCACCCCCTATCACATGGGATTCATAACATAAATAGTGAAAAGTGGATGTTACATTGGACAGTGACATTAAATGCCGTAATGTGCACCTCTTTCTACCACTTCGGGGATAAAAGGCGTGATGTTATGTATATATTTAAAAAAAGGTATTTATTTTCGTTTGTAACCTTTGAAGAAACACGTGTTTAGTAAGAGAATTGGTCACGAAATTACCTTATCGTTTAGAAATATAGATAATTCCGTGTATATCTGACAATAACCTTGCTTTATTAGATTACCACAGATAACTGTATGATATATATTTTTGTTTAAAGATTATATCGATTGCTCACATTCTTTGACTTTGGTAGTACTGACCTAGTGGTCTAGTACATTTTGTTTGTCGATAGAAAGATACGACGTCACTAGGGAATACAATCTCGATCGACAAGATTAATCAAGTGGAGCTGGGCTGATCATGTCTCTCGCATGTAAGACGAGCGGTGGGCAAAACTCACTACTGAGTGTAGACCACTCAATGTCAATAGACGTCGCAGTAGACCTAGAAGGAGATGGTGAGATAAACTTGACGCCTATGAAAAGAATTTTTTGTTTTTTTTAATAATCATTGAATGACTTCTCCCGCCTGGGTGAGGCGAGGGAGTGTCAGACTCTTACTGACTAAAAACCACCTCGTTCCTACCCTTGCACGTCGAGCCGCAGCCCTGGCAACCCGTTAGAAAGGATTGCCCACAGAAATCTGTAAGAAGAGACGAGTGATACGAGGGTAGGGAGGCCTTTGTCATGTAGTGGGACGACCATAGCTAAAAATAAATAAAATAATTAGAAGAGTAGGTGGTTCTGGTTTCTTTCGTTTATTATTTGATTTTATCCCATGAGATTTAATCAGGATAGGACTTCTTAAGTCCTATTACTTAAGTCAGCCCATAAGGGTATGGGGTCTGTATACCAAATTTCATCATAATCCGTTCAGTTTCAGCGTGATTAACGTACAAACATTCAAACAACGAAACTTTCACATTTATATTTTTTTATGCTTGCTTGTTCAACGTTTGGCCACCATCTTGCCTGGTGGTAAGTGATGATGTGGCCGACGATGGAGCACGCCTACCTACGAGCAACCTGTTCACTCGGGACTTGAAGACATCCAAGTTATATTTGTTGGGAAACACTGATATTAGATATAACATACGTCAAAGTAGAAGTACATCAAAAATACTATCTTCTGCCTCTTCTCCTTCGTCCGCCTAACTTTATTGTCGAGAAATAAATCGTGAAAGTAAATGCTAATAATGTAAAGTTATCTTAGAACCCTATAATTTTTCCTAATTTATTCAAATATTATGATTATTTGCAACAAGAAAGAAAGAACGTACAAAACTGCCAATCTAACGATTTTGTAATTGTGTTATATAATTTCTGACTGGACTATGGTGTTACATTGTTCTCACAACCCAAACAACAAAACTATGTAACTAGAGAATTGTATTGTAAACCTGATTGGAAAAGAGTAACCTATGGAGTTTCTTGCTCGTTCTTCTCCATAGAAATCTACACCTTGGAATGAGCAAATAGCTTCACTTTACATTTTTTGTGACGTTCAAAAGTGCCTTCCTGGTTTAATTTAAATAAATGATTTTGCCTTTGACTCGCGAGATCTCGCTTAAACCTAGATAGTTTATCAATGACACGACTTTAAACACAGGAAATGATCATATTCTCACGGAAATGCTTGTAAAACAATTCTAATGTTATCATAATGAATATGTAGTTTTCATTCATAGATGGCGCTTCGGTAGGTTTTAAGATATTTCACATAATATATTATCATAATGAAAATCTGTTTCTACGGGCAGATAAAGCAGTCATATAAAAATGAATCCCTTTTCCTTGGTCACGGCATCACGCGTGAACGCCTGGACCGATTTCACTAATTCTTTTTAGTTGTATTTGTTATTATTAGAAGGTTCTAAGATAGAAAAAATCCTAATAATCCTACGGGAACGGGAGAAAACGGGATTGGGCGTACGAAGTCTCTTGCAGGAGATGATATTTAATATTAATTTCAATATATAATAAGCTGTACACACACACAATGTGTACATTCTCTTGGCAGTCAGCCTAATATAAAGATTTATGTCCTAAAAGGTATTTAATTGTTTGTTATCACAAACAAGTCTATGTTTCATAGTCGTTATCAATCATATTCACCATCATTATCATCATCATCACTTTGTGCATACGGAAATAAATTAAAAACAAACTTATTACTTTGTATCATATGAATTGTATAAAGGCTGGTTTGAGGGACGCGCTGACTGCACGCTGACCGACGGCGCTGACAGCCGAGATATTAGATACATAAACTTCTAGGAAGCGTTTTTTAATAACACGTAGCTATCTCCGTGCACCGTGGTCAGCGCTAACAGCTACGCCGGGGCCGACGCGAAATGAGTACGGCCTAGTCAGAACGATAATAAAACTAGCCACGCTGATCGTCAGCGCTGTCGGTCAGCGTGACAATAAAATCAGCCTAAAGGGTTTTCATTTGGCGGTTTCATCTCCATCTTTTAGATGATTGGTAGTTCACAATTGAGCGTTTTTTGCCAATCTTTTGACCTCACACCATTTTGTTTTACCCTGCATTAAAAATCTGTCGAATTAACTATCGCCTACGGTAGCCGGTATTTCAGAACTTTAATTTAAATACAATCTAGGTACTCTATTTTAATACTTCTGGTGTTGTAGATAACAACGGGCGGCGCTATTCTATCAGGCTATATGTCGAACCATTTGCCCATCCCATTAAAAAACGTTTGATAAGGACCTAGAATAATAAAATCAGCAGTTTTACAAAAATAATTTTATGATTTGGTTACTATAGATGTGCTTAAAATATGACTGATATAAATTACCACCGAATCAAAACAGATGGCGCTGTACTCAATTTAAGTCTTCCTCTTTGCAGAAACTTCAAATGTGCGGTACGGAAGAGGAGATGAGGGAAGTGGCTGGCAGGATATGCAGGAACTACCTCCATGGAGCTTGGAAGACGGTGGACCCTAAGGACCTCAGTTTTAGAAGGATCAGGTAAGGCATCGCTCAAAGACTAAAGGCCGTTTTCACCAAATCTTAACTAAGAGTTACTAAACGTAAGGGAGCACCTAAACTAGTACAGTTATACTGTCACTAAGTGGTGAAAACCACAATGTCGTTAAGGGTGACCTTTCTCAATTTAGGGATTCCTTAAAAGTTAAGGGAGGTCCGTGAAAACTGGCTATGAATTCGAAAGGATTTTTCACGGTGTGTTGGCATGATTGGACAGCCTCGATTGGGGTGACTCCACGGCGTCAAAGGCAACCGCGTTCAAGATTATTTTGTGGAAAGTTGGAAAGTATGTAAATAGTGAAAAGTTGGTGTTTTAACTTTACGCCTGCAAAAATTCAAAGCAATCGGTTTAGTAGTTACGGCGTGAAGGTGGAACAAACAAACAAACAAACAAACTCACTTTCAGATTTATCATATTAGTAAGGATAGTAAGGATGTGCACCTCTGTCTACCCCTTCGAACACAGACGTGTTCAGAAGTGAATTATTAATCAATTTTATCAAGCAACGATCGATTTGTCTGCTTCATACTATAATACCATAAACAACTTTACTATTCTAGGTATAAAGTTAAAAATAGATTGATATTTTCAATTCTTTTCATATTTCTACGCCCACACAAGTCTGCTAGCCAGAGTATTTGATACAAGTCACTTGTAATTAAATCTAAATGAATTGTATCTTGTGATGACGGCAGAATAGAATATATTTGTCATCAACTCTACTCTTCCCGCGGGTGTCGTATACCCGACTAAGACACTACACATTAGACAGACACCGGGCAGCAGCGCTCTCTGATAAACCTGAACCTTTTATACTGCGACCTCCAACCCGCCTGCCTGCGGAGATTGTGACAAACCCCTCTTATGTAGAGGAGGCTCATAGTTCAGCAGTGGACTGTCAGAGCTCGTTGAAGATGAAGGAACACTTAGCTTCATTGACGGAGTATTTTGACAGCAGTATTTCAAAAGCCTGCCTCGTTGGCCGAGTGGTCGCAAGTGCGCCTGCCGGGCAAGGGGTATCGGGTTCGATTCCCGGTTCGGGCAATGTATTACTGTGTTTTTTTTAATTCTCAGTAGTAGCACGGAGTCTGGAACTGTGCCCGGTATATGGCAATAGGCTCACCTCCTATTACATGGGACTCATATCATCAATAGTGAAAAGTGGGTATTACATTGTACAGTGGCATAATGTGCACCTCTGCCTACTCCTTCGAGGATAAAAGGCGTATTGTTATGTTATTTCAAAAGCGCGTTTAATTGAAATGAATGCTTCGACATTGACATTGATTATACTTCTGCCGAACTATACAGAAAATGAAAGTAGATAATTATGTAGGTAATATCATGTTTGAACAAGTGCCGTACAACTTATGTACTAATATAATAAATGCTAGAGTTTGTGAATTTGTGTGTACGTTTGTCACTTAATCACGTGAAAACGGCTGAAGGGATCGGGATTAAATTTTGAACACGGATAGATTATGTTCTGGAATAACACTTTTTATCTACGAGAATTCGGTTTCGATACCAGGGTCGGGCAAAGTACTACTGGGTTTTTAAAAACTTCTGAGTAGTAGCACGGTGTCTGGAATTGTGCCCGGTATATGGCAATAGTGAAAAGTGGGTGTTACATTGTATATTAGCATTATGTGCCGTAATGTGCGCCTCTGCCTACCCCGTCCGGGATAAAAGGCGTGATGTTATATGTATATCTACGAGAATGCGGGCGAAGTCGCAGTCAGGACCTAGATACATACATACAATATTGATATCATTGAAAAACTTTCCATTTCAAAAATAATACAAGTTGAAATCACTACTACCATTAAAATCACTAGTCATTAGCTACTGAACTAATATTTTTTTATGTTTTACCGATCGCGTGTAACCTTACAGTTAAAATTTAACCTCGGCAACGAATCGATACTGTTAACCTTCCAGCTTTATTGTTACTACTACATTGATTAACTTTAAACAGCAGCTCATGTAGTGTAGATGTCCAGTCAACAAGGATGTAGCGAGGTTGACTGTCCAGGCGACACACGTACTTAGGTATCGTCATGAGCTAATGTTCACATGTAAACAGCAGCTCATGTAGTGTAGATGTCCAGTCAACAAGGATGTAGCGAGGTTGACTGTCCAGGCGACACACGTACTTAGGTATCGTCATGAGCTAATGTTCACATGTAAACAGCAGCTCATGTAGTGTAGATGTCCAGTCAACAAGGATGTAGCGAGGTTGACTGTCCAGGCGACACACGTCCTTAGGTATCGTTATAGCTAATGTTAACGTGTAAACAGCAGCTCTAAAATCTAAATATTATCCTGGTTAGACGTTAGACAAACAAGGCAATAATCCCTCAATTATCTAAAGTAATTACATATACTGATATGTTATCGAGTAGGCACATATCTAAACACCTTATCACTATTACCCATAAACTAGAAAATTCTTGATTGGAACCGGATTGAATCGATTAACAAATCGATATACATAATCGTTTCTAGACTACGTAATATTCTATTCAATAATACGTTACCGTATAATCGGTAGATTCCCTTTAAAATAGACACTGATAATAGACGTCATAGTCTTTGATATTTGCAACTAGCTATATCAAGACGATACCTGAGTACGTGTGTCGCCTGGACAGTCAACCTCGCTACATCCTTGTTGACTGGACATCTACACTACATGAGCTGTTGTTTACATGTGAACATTAGCTCATGACGATACCTAAGTACGTGTGTCGCCTGGACAGTCAACCTCGCTACATCCTTGTTGACTGGACATCTACACTACATGAGCTGTTGTTTACACGTTAACATTAGCTCATAACGATACCTAAGGACGTGTGTCGCCTGGACAGTCAACCTCGCTACATCCTTGTTGACTGGACATCTACACTACATGAGCTGCTGTTTACATGTGAACATTAGCTCATGACGATACCTAAGTACGTGTGTCGCCTGGACAGTCAACCTCGCTACATCCTTGTTGACTGGACATCTACACTACATGTACTGCTGTTTACGTGAAACCAGTTAATAAAATCGTATACTACCGGTAGTAAATTATTTTCCATCGATATTCAAGGCCAGTCTATGTATTGTTGAGCGTAGATTACGCAGTATATAAGAATATGTAAAGACGCAAAAAATGTAAATAAATACGATTAACCTTGACTTTAGCACAACTGTTTCATGTTTGTGGTATAAATTATAAATCGGTAGCGGTTTTGGCCGTTTTTGCTATTCGTAGATGGCGCTGCTGATGTTTAAAAGGCTCGGTAGTGTAAAAAATTGTTGGTAGGTTTTGCGCTTAAGCTTTTACGTTTTAGGAAATTAAAAAGATATTTAGGTAGTAATTGTTAGTCTGATTCAAAATTTCTTCAATATTGAGTCACTTTGTAAACAGATGCATTATCTTTTAGTTAGCCGTTAAGAATTTTGGAAAATCATAAACGTAAATGCCAAATGTTTAGATTATGACAAACCCTCTTTTATAGAGGAGGCCCATAGGACTGTTAATGATCGATAATAAGGCCAAATATACTTCTACTCAACCCAAGAAATAGACCTCAAACGACTATAAACAATAATGAAATGAAATGAAATACATTTATTCGGTATAAGACATGCACGCTAGGAAAAAAGAAACATATACATCTATATATATAAAATTCAAAGGTGATTGACTGACTGACTGACTGACATAGTGATCTATCAACGCACAGCCCAAACCGCTGGACAGATTGGGCTAAAATTTGGCATACAGATAGATTTTATGACGTAGGCATCCGCTAAGAAAGGATTTTGATAATTTCCACCCCCAAGGGGGTAAAAAAGGGGATGAAAGTTTGTATGAAACTTTGTCAGTTTTTAACTGATCGGGTTGAAATTTGGCATGCAGATAGATGTTATGACTTAAGCATCCGATGTGAAAGGATTTTGATAATTTCCACCCCCAATGGGGGTAAAATAGGGGATGAAAGTTTGTATGAGACTTTGTCAGTTTTAAACCGATCGGTTTGAAATTTGGCATGCAGATAGATGTTATGACGTAAGCATCCGCTTTGAAAGGATTTTGATAATTTCCACCCCCAAGGGGGTAAAATAGGGGATGAAAGTTTGTATGAGACATCGTCAGTTTTAAATCGATCGGGTTGAAATTTGGCATGCAGATAGATGTTATGACGTAAACATCCGCTGTGAAAGGATTTTGATAATTTCCACCCCCAAGGGGGTAAAATAGGGGATGAAAGTTTGTATGAGACTTTGTCAGTTTTAAACGATCGGTTGTAATTTGGCATGCAGATAGATGTTATGACTTAAGCATCCGATGTGAAAGGATTTTGATAATTTCCACCCCAATGGGGGTAAAATAGGGGATGAAAGTTTGTATGAGACTTTGTCAGTTTTAAACCGATCGGTTTGAAATTTGGCATGCAGATAGATGTTATGACGTAAGCATCCGCTTTGAAAGGATTTTGATAATTTCCACCCCCAAGGGGGTAAAATAGGGGATGAAAGTTTGTATGAGACATCGTCAGTTTTAAATCGATCGGGTTGAAATTTGGCATGCAGATAGATGTTATGAGGTAGGCATCCGTTGTGAAAGGATTTTTAAAATTTCCACCCCCAAGTGGGTAAAATAGGGGATGAAAGTTTGTATGAGACATTGTCAGTTTTAAATCGATCGGGTTGAAATTTGGCATGCAGATAGATGTTATGACGTAGGCATCCGCTGTGAAAGGATTTTGATAATTTCCACCCCCAAGTGGGTAAAATAGGGGATGAAAGTTTATATGAGCCTTTGTCAGTTTTAAACCGATCAGGTTGAAATTTGGCATGCAGATAGATGTTATGACGTAAGCATCCGCTTTGAAAGGATTTTGATAATTTCTACCCCCAAGGGAGTAAAATAGGGGATGAAAGTTTGTATGAGACTTTGTCAGTTTTAAATCGATCGGATTGAAATTTGACATGCAGATAGATGTTATCACATAGGCAACCGCTAAGAAAGGATTTTGATAATTTCCACCCCTAAGGGGGTAAAATAGGGCATGAACGTTTGTATGAAGCTTTGTCAGTTTTACACCGATCGGGTTGAAATTCGGCGTGCAGATGGATATTATGACGTAAACGTCCCTTTAGAAAGGTTTTTGAACATTCTCACCCCAAAGTGGGTAAAATAGGGGGTGAAAGTTTGTATGATACTTTGCCAGTTTTAAATTGATCGGGCTGAGACTTTGCATGCATAAAGTTACTATGACATAGGTATCCCTTTAGAAAGGATTTTGATAAATTCCACCCCTAAGGGGATAAAATAGGGAATGAGAGTTTCTATAAATCTTCTTAGCCGTTGAATTTAGAATCATTGAATCTTTTTGAATTACATTCGGTAAAACGATGATTTAGGACCTGGGTAACGTATGATATTTTTTTCACAGATGTCTCACGAGAACGGTAACTATGTGTCAATGCCCCAGGACTCTCTAACTCTTAACCACTGAACTTATTCTAGAGAGATTCGGTATAACAATAGTCGATAGAATAGTTTTTATTACTCAAACCTTACGTGATCGGGCACTGTACTGGTAAGATCCCTGCGGGATTATTTATTTATTGACAATACGATAAATCATTTCAAAATAGGTAAATTTTACTTGGGCACTGAATTGATTCTGGTTAATTCTGTCAGAAGTCATTAATCTACGCGGACGAAGTCGCGGGCAACAGCTAGTTATAACATATAACAATAAAAAGGTTTAAAACAGATATAATTATAAAACTAAAACAAGCCAGGTAAAACTAATACAGGAGCAACATACTGCGTATTAATGTAGATTCACTTTTAAAGCACTTCAACGCTAACATTTCACAACTTAAACCATAAACAATAATTTACTTATAAAACGTAAAAAAATCTTTCATTCCGTGCTAACAAACTAAATAAAAGATAGTTTTCTTAATAAAAACTTCAAACTATTGTATAGTATTTCTTACAAAACAACTTCATTTCCAAGAAATGTAGCAGTTTTTTCCATTGCCATAAAAAATCTTTCAGAAGTTCATGTTTTTTTGCACTATATCTTGTTTTATGGACAAAGTGTCATTTTTATAATAACTATCGTGAGACATTTAAGTGTGAGAGCCATGCTTCGGCACGAATGGGCCGGCACGACCGAAGCGATACCACGGCCGAGCAGAAAACCGACGTGGAGCAACGCTTGCGGTTTTCTGTGAGCTTGAGGCTACCAAAGGCCCAATTACCCTCCCCTTCCCCAATCTCCCCAATCCCTGATTCCCCAACGATCCTCAAACTCCTAATTCCCCAAAAGGCCGGTAACGCACTTGTAACGCCTCTGGTGTTCCAGGTGTCCATGGGCGACGTCGACATACGTCGATTGCTTACCATCATGTGATCCGTCTGCTCGTTTACCGGCTTATGCCATAAAAAACATACTAAATTAACTAAAAATAGCTAGTAAGCTGCGCTCGCTGCTGCACCCCTCTGTGATTCGATACTAGAAAAGTGTCATTTGTGGCTTTTTTGTCTTTAATTAAACAAAAGAAATCCAATATAACTGTACCCGAACCGAGAATCGAACTCGATAACATGCCATTTCATACAAAACTTGCACTTAAATAAGTAACTACGGCGGAAAATTTTCCAAACAGGATTCGAACCGTTGCGCTGGCGCTGACCTCGGACATTGACTTGTGTAACTGGGCCATTAATATAAATTATCGAAATACAAAAATATCTTAAGTATAATAATGTCAATAGTATTAGTGGTGGAAAATTACCCGAGTGACAGATAACGCACGCATTGTTTAGTAACGATAGCTGCGCCCGCGCACGTCGGGCCGCCATCTTGTTTTAGGTAATAAACTTATAAGCCTATGGTTTACGATTGTATGTGAAATTTATGACACGTGCCAAGGATATTATTTATTATTGGTGATTAGGTTTTGTCCACGATTGCGTATGCGCAGAATATCTCGTTTATTCTCCCACTTCGGTAATAAGACATAATATGATTTGACCTCCGATGGGGCAAACAGAGGACATATTTACAATGCAACACCCACTTTTCAGCACTTATGTTGCCTATAACACCTCCTATTACATGGGACCTATCCCATGTAATAGGAAGTGAGTCTATTGCCGTATACCGGGCACAATTCCAGACTCCGTGCTATGTCTAAAAGGGAAAAGGGCCATTGTCATTTTGTCCAAAACGACACACAACATAACATCCTTACTTTTATTCCCGAAGGGCCAGACAGAGGTGCACATTACGGCACTTAATGCCACTTTACAATGTAACACCCACTTATCACTATTTATGTTATGAGTCCCATGTAATAGGGGTCAGTCTTTTGCCGTATACCGGGCAAAATTCTAGACTCGGTGCTACTACTGAGAATTTTTTAAAAACCCAGTAAGATTCTGCCCCATCCGGGAATGGAACTTGGGGCCACTCGGCCAACGAGGTAGTATGTATTTATGTGCGCGATTATTTCGCGATTGCCTAAACCGATATTGATGCGGTTTTCAGAATAGTGTTTGTTACACTTAGAAAAAGGTTTTAGTGTATTAATTAACTGACTTAAAACAAGAGGGATTTGTAGTAGGTTTTTTAGAAAGTAGTTAATAAAAGAATTATTTTTTCTCGTCTTCCAGTGGTGGTCTGTCAAACTTCCTATACTACATAGCGTTGCCTGATGACGTGTCGAAATGGGGAGGCTACCAGAAACGGGAGAGCTCACCGGAGACAGACCCTGAGAACTGTGACAATAGGAACATGAGGAGGACCCTGGTGAAGAGCACCTCCTTCTCCATTGAGGAACCTAGAAAGGTAAGTTCATCATGCATGTATCAGCCACGGCTTCGGATTGCTAGGTTGAAAGCGACCGCATACTGTCCTCCGCGCTGGTGGACGTCTTCACTTCGATTGATAAAACTTAATCCTTCCTATTCACACTGAGCAGTTTGCGTAGGAAACTACGATCTCTAACCCACCTGCCAAGGGTGACAAATGAAAGTAGAAGAAAGAAAGAAAAAGCATTTATTTGCGTAATAGGCACACAAATAAAAAGATTATAAAAAAATTAAAATACAGATACTTATATCGTACAAACTAATAATAATCTTAAAGGAGTAAAGAGAAGAACAAGGCGGCGCTGATCGCTTACCATCAGGTGATCCGTCTGCTCGGGTTTACGACATCACCCTTCCTTATGCGTACTGCTAAGGAATGAAATTCTTTGCTAGAGTCTGTATTTCCTGAAGGGGTAATAACCTGGGTGTCTTCAAGGCCCAAGTGAATAGGTTGCTTATGGGACGACGTGCTCCATCGTAGACCGCATCATCGCTTACCACCAGGCGAGATAGTAGGCAAACGTCAGCCCATCACATATAAAAAAGCTGTAAAAATATTTAACTCGACCAGAAAATCTCACTCTCTTTACCGCTTTCGTCATTAAATAAAATAATTTAATCATACATTACCTCCTCTCTTCAAGGTATTATTAAGAATCTACGGGCAAGTGCACGGAGAGCGCGCAATGGACGCCATCGTCACCGAATCTGTGATCTTCACGCTACTATCAGAGAGAAGACTTGGACCAAAGCTACATGGCGTCTTCTCTGGAGGCAGGATCGAACAGTACATACCAGTAAGTAGTTTTATATATGTAATTATATGTCGGGTTTTTTATTGGGTGCGTATATAATATACATATATATATATAGGTTGTTTATGATCTTGTAGAGGTTTTTGAGTTGTTAAGATTAGTATAATCGATTTGGTTTTTAGATTCAGACATTAAAAACAGGCTATAATTGGGATGATGACAAGGTATGAAAATTAAAAATATAATTAGTCCGTAAGTTAGGTAGTAAAAAAATATTAGACACGTATTTTTTTATTTTCTCGTGGAATAAAAAAATACTTAGATAAAACGAATCAAACTTTAGTAGTGGGAGCTAAAACGTCATTTCTACGTATGAAAATGTACATAGAAGTGACGTCACGCGACATTTCAAATCAATATATCGTCGAAAGTATTCTTTTTTGTAAGAAAATAAAAAATACGTGTCTAATGATTTATAATAATCTACCAGACGGACATTAAAATAAAAATTAGGCATCTACCCTATTGTCTGTGATGAAGGAAATAATAGAAATAAGAGCTTATACGATAGGCTGTCGTAAGATTAGGTTATTGTTGTCGAATTAGGAAACAATTTAGACACTTGTCAACTATAAGAAGACTTAATTTTAAATAGGTACAAGGGCTCGTACACAAAACTGCGGTGCGACGTCGCATTGCAAAAATGTGCGAGCTCCCTCTACGCATCGCAAGAACTTGCGAATTGATTCGCATCGCGCATCAAAATCTTATCTTCCCAAGATCGTCTTTGTTTCTTTTTCCTGTATCTCCTAAGCAATAACAGAAGTGCACACTTCTTTTTAAGATCCATGTCGCGACCTAGTTTTCAATTTAAAATACGTTTAGTACGGTTGACGGTCGTCGAAGGACTGGCCACTCTGGGAGACGCCTTGTCGCACGTAATCGCATCGCAGAATTCGTGTCGTAATTTTTGCGTTGCGTATTCGCATCGCATCGCAGTTTTGTGTACGAGCCCTAAAACACAGTTATAAGCTATTTCCGTGGGTAAGTATACACGAGAAATGTCGGTGTTATTTATGATTGTGTCATGGACTTATGTTCACTCAAAAAAAAGAACATTTTTACTAGTTGAACCTTTGTTTGTTGTGAGGATTAACAAATTTTTATTTTACAAAACGTCACTCACTACATAATGAGCATACATTTTAATATATAATTAGGAACAGGATAGGAATACTTTGAATAATTATTCAGCCTTCTCAAAAATTCTAGTAGTAGCTTAGACCAATAGAACGACTAGATTTTTAGCTAACATTATGGAAGGTTTTATTATATCTTTATATCCGCTGAAGAGAAACAGGATTCAAGTTAGGATTAAGGAATCGATGAAGTTAGGAAAATGGGTTTTATTATTAAGAATGGAAAATGGGTTTTATTATTAAGAATATTATTATCAATACAAAATTAATGTGTTTTTAACATAAACAATAATTTCCTCAAACTAACAACACAACAACTATGTATAAAGTTATATATTTATATATAAAGTCTTAAACAACTTATAAAAAACTATTTGGTGCATTCTGATTGGTTGACAAATCGTATGTTCGGCACAAAAGCCGGTAATTGGGTATTTCTGTTAGGAAATTCTCAGTTCCAGCGGTATGACCGGCTATCGGCTGGGGCCTAATACTGGGCGGCGCAGTTCTTTCAAGGAAACGACGCGTGGTATGTAATTTGGCATTTAATGTCTAAGCAATAAGGATGTATTTTGTTTGTAGTGTATTTTTGAACACGTGATTTTTTTATTGTTTGAAAATGTGAGCTAAAGAAAATGCTGTATTTTCCGTCCGTATCTTGTCCCCCTATTACATGGGACTCATAACTGGTGAAAGTGGGTGTTACATTGTATATGCACCTCTGTCTACCCCATGTCTAGGCTTTAAAAGCCCGATTTCAATAATTCAATTCAGCCTAGTAGCTCTGTACTATCTTAAAATGTTATTTTTGTCTTTATTTAATTCTTCAATGAGACAAGAAAAACTCCACCCGTTTTTGAAAACCCAGCAACGCACTAGTTACTTTTCTAGCGTTGCAGGTGTCCATGGGCGACTTTGATCACTTACCATCAGGTGATCCGTCTTCTCGTTTACCCCCCAGAAATACAGCAAAAACACGCGAATTTAAACTCTAACCAACATAAAAATAGAAGCCAATTGCCATAATCTCTCCCCGTTCTCACTCTCCTTCGGTCTACTCATTTTAAAGACCGGTCTACTCAACAAAAAGACCGGTCTACTCGTTTTCCCCTTGGTCTTTCCACTAAAAGACTGGTCTACTCCACAGGCAAGGTGTCTACTGACAAAAGAACTAGCGGACCCGGCGTTATCTATGAAAATTGCTGAAAAAATGGCCGCCATACATTCAATGGAGGTGCCCCTGAACAAGGAACCAAACTGGATTTGGAAGACCATGTATAAATGGTTGAAGACTGTTAAAGAGGAGAGGCTGAACAATACTGCTCAGGGAAAGGTGAATATTACAGTACATTTTCACTTATTATTAACTGGCTTCTGCCAGCGGGTTCGTCCGTGTTCCTGTGGGTAAAAAGGACCCTATGTGTTATGTGTTATCTCAGTAGTGGCACGGAGTCTGGAAATGTGCCTGGTATATGGCAATAGGCTCACCCCCTACCTACATTTTGGAATGAGCACCTAGTTTCACCTAGTTTCACTGACGGACTGACTGACAGACTATTATTTATTTTGTATGTATTGTTGACGTTTCAAAAGTACCAAACTATGGTCTATTTGAAATAAATGCTTTGACTTTGACTTTGACCCCTATTACATGGGACTCATAACATAAATAGTGAAAAGTGGGTGTTACTTCTGTGTGCACCTCTGCCTACGCCTTCGGGAATAAAAGGCGTGATGTTATGTTATGTTATATTACCTACATATTGATATAAAATTATTACATTTTTTTATTACATGAAGTACTTCATTTTAAAGTTAAATTACCTAGCTTAGAGATTATGACAAAACCTTCTTATGTAAAGGCAGTAGTGAAAGTAAATTTAAAACATATATTAAGCGCGAATTATGTAATCAAGCCTACTACACACTGACAGATTATCTTGAAGATAAGAATGCTTGGCAGCATGTTGGTTCGGCTCCACTGGACAATACTCAAATGTAGTCAGTAGCTAAATTCCAATAGTAGGTATTTTAATACAAAATTTAACACTTTAATTCTAATGTAGACAATCTAGTTTCCTTATGGCATCGAGCATTTCTTTATTGAAACAAAGAGTTTCCTTTTCTTGTATAGAAGCACTAATTCTATGGATTGTCAGTATGCATATGTGAGCACCATGTTGGACTTTAAGTTAATTTTTATTTATTTATTTTTTTTAATTTTTGTAAGTTATTAGTATAATGCGTCAAGCGTGTCTTTGCATTGTTCTTACATATGCGTACAGTATTGAAATATGTATCAGAGACATTGTAGAACATACTTTTTTTTAAAAAGAGTAACGAATGGAGTTTCTTGCTCGTTCTTCTCCATTCGAATCTACTTTTTGGAATGAGCACCTAGTTTCACTGACGGACTGACTGACAGACTATTATTTATTTTGTATTTGTTGACGTTTCAAAAGCACCAAACTATGGTTTAATTGAAATAAATGCTTTGACTTTGACTTTGACTTTGACAGCCCTTACACCAACAATGGACGGTCTGAATATCAGCCCCGTCTCCTGCCTTCCACAGTCCTCCCCCCAATGACTACTCATCGCGAGGTTGGAAGCGACGTGCATACAGCGACTGTCGCAGACCTTCATCAGGCCTCTTTGACCATTCTTTATTATGTGCTATACCGTATTAATGTCGCGGAGAACCTAACAGGTTACCGAGGCTCCGGCTCGACGTGCAGGAGTAGGAACGGGGTGGTTTTTAGTCAGTAAGAGTCTGACACTCTTTCCTACCTCACCCAGGCGGGAGCAGTAATTCGATGATTTTTCCCCCCTTAAAAAAATACCGTATTAATATTCTTTTTATCTTCTAGAACGAACAAGAGCAGCGTATCATCCAGCAGCTGAAGAACACAGATCTGGAGAAAGAAATTGAATGGCTGAAGAAATTCCTCGCTACTGTCGACTCCCCCGTCGTCTTCTGTCATAATGATATGCAAGAAGGTATGTTGATGTATGTCTTAGATAGGTGACAGGTTCGATTCTCGTGTTAGACAGTGTATTTTCCGAGTATTTTTATGGTATAAGTCGGCAAACGAACAAATCACCTGATGGTAAGCAATCAGCGTCGAACATGGATACCTGAAACACTAGAGTATATACTACAGTGTTGCCCGCTTTTTAGGAATTTAAAATTTTATAGTTTAAAATTCATATTTGACGGAAATGAGCAAGTTCATAAATATCGTGATATCCCTGAGAAAACAGATACTTGTCTCAACCTAGAAATCGAAACGAAGACACATTTAGGAATCCCAGTTTGAATAGATGGTCTATTCTTAACACCAATTAAAAGTATATATATAAAATTAAATAGTATGAGATGTTAAAAAACATTTTTCTGTTCTAGCAACACCAATCACTATTCAATTTCATAAATTAATCTGTCAAACACCAAGCGGTCACCGGTGACCGCGACCTATTGTTCTTTAATTGTGTCTATAAAACCGGTACTCGACGAGTTAAGCTTTACAAAATATTTTTTTCAATTAGCAACCCTTAACAACATCACCATTTTGTCCCCAGGCAACATCCTTCTCGTCGAAGACACTCAAACAACATCAGACGACGAAGTGTTACCCATATACGTACAAACGTTCGATACAGACGAACCACGGACAGCTAAAAACGGTTCCATAGATAAAGACAATTTCTACGAAGATGCAAATACTTCGGACACGGTCATAAGTCATATGTCGGATTGTGGGGAGCCTAAATTGGTCCTAATTGACTTTGAGTACTGTGCCTATAATCATAGGGGGTTCGATATCGCTAATCATTTCCAAGAATGGGCATTTGATTATACTAACCCGGAGCATCCGTTTTATTATGAGCATCAAGATTCTACGCCTAGTTTGGAACAGAAGGTAAGTTTGTTAATATAATAACTAGACTTTAGCCCACTTAGTTTTTAGTCAAATTTCCGTGGTGCTTGGCGACTGGGCTTCACCCAGTTGTACAGTCTCTTTTTTGTGCCTTTAGGCTTAATTCATTCTGTCTCCTGCAGTAATTCACCGAGGGAAGTGGAAACTGTCGTTTTTTTTCTTCTCCTCTTATAATATCTTCTGATTCACTTCGTTGCGGGAACCAAGACAGTTACTCATGTCCCTGCGACGTTGGACTTCAGTGTTCCGGTGTTTGCATAGATGTATCTACTGTAGATCCTGGTGCACAGGAGTTGCAGCGGTTTTGGGAGGTTGTGGCGGGCTTGTCACATTAAAAAAATATAATAACTAGATTCTGCCAAGGTCACTCGCGCAAAAGTAGTCTATGTGTTATTGCAGACCATAATCTACCCCTGTTGCAAATTTTATCCCGATCCCTTCAGCCATTATAATGTGATTGAGTAACAAACAGACACATAAACTTTCGCATCTGTTATATTACTAAAACGGATTCAATTTATGTGTTTGTGTGGGAGAGCTATGTTTCCCCACGCATGGGCCAGCTCGACCGGAGTGATACCACGGCAGAAAACCATAGTGAAACAACGCTAGAGTTCTGTTTTGTGGGAGTGAGGTTACCGGAGGCACAATTATCTCCCTCCCTAATCTCCTCAATCCATACTAATATTATAAATCGGAAAGTGAGTTTGTTTGTTTGTTCCGATTTCACGCCGTAACTACTAAACCGATTGCATTGAATTTTTGCAGACGTAAAGTTAGTAGTCTGGATTAAATAATAGGGGGTACTTTTTATCCAGAAAAAATTTAATATTCCCGAGGTAAAACAAAAGTATTGGTATAGATGGCGCTGTATGTATTAGTATATGTCACATAGGCTACTTTTTATCCTTTTGTGACGCGAGCGAGGCCGTGGGTAAAAGCTAGTCCCTACTAATTCTCAAATTCCTAATCCTCAAAAGGCCGGCCGTGATATCACTCCGGTCGAACTGGCCCATTCGCAGCATGGCTACATTATGGCAGACTAATATTTTTTTCTATTATACTAATATCAATTTATTCCCTTGTTTACAGGAAATATTCATCCGCGAATACCTGAAACACTATCAGGCGAACATCTCAGACAGAACAGAAGTCAGTTTGGACGATGTGAACAAATTACTGGATGAAGTGGAAGCGTTCGCCCTGGCCAGCCATCTGTTCTGGGCGCTGTGGTCCATTGTCAATGCTTCCAAGAGCCAGATACCTTTTGGTTATTGGGTGAGTTGAACTGACATTTTTTATGTAACGAGCAGACGGATTACCTGATGGTAAGTAATCCGCCCATGGACACCAGGAACGCTAGAGGACTTACAAATGTGTTGACGGCCTTTTGGCATATCGAGGATTAGACCAAACCCAATCCTCAAAATCGATTGGAGCATTGGGTCTACAGCAACCTCGAGTAGTGTCAGATTTCTTTATAGATCTGTAATGTTACGTCATAGAGTAGGATAATCATTCACTTTCACTATTTATGTTATTAGTGTAATAGGGAGTGAGTGTATTGCCATGTACTATTCCAGACTAAGAATTTTTTGTAAGATTGAAAATTTAATAATATTTGGTCTGACTCGGGAATCGAATCAGAAACTGCTTAGTCGGTAGTCGGTTCTTCACAAATGGAGAGTCGTGGTCCAGCCTAAACGGGCCGGCTTACGTTGTGTTTCGCCCTATGCGTGAGGGTACCATCAAGTCATCCATATCATCATCATGCGTACAGCCACGTACCGTCCCCTGCCCCCCATGGCTACACATCGCGAGGTTGGTAGCGACCTGCATACATAATTTTTCTAACAATTATCGTATTTTCCAGGAATACGCAGTGTCAAGACTAGAAACTTACCTGAGGTTAAAACTAGAAGTGATCAAGAAGGACAAATACGGACTCCCTCAAAAGAGGAAAATCTGCGAGGTCGACATATGAGAGGGGTTGGGAGAACTCGCGCTGTAGACCCCAAAAAGTCACTCCGGCGCTGAGCTACTTGGACCCCACGCGGTCCAGACCCCGGTCAAGTAAGACCTCGATGAGTTTGACCCCGAATTTTGAGTTCTTGAAATGGACATTTAAGTTCGTTGTGGATATGTTGGTTCATAATGGACTATTGGAGTGTCGTTAAAGGTCTGTGTATATTATTTGGGACGTGATCAAGGTCCAGTGTGGATTGCGTAGCGATCCAATTCGATATTGGATAGTTTATGAGTTCCGGTGTAAATATAAAACTGATTTTTTGATTCCTTGCATACAGTATTCCTTAGGAAATTAGGTTTTGTATCCAGTTTTTTTAGACCCCTAAAAGTCTAAAATTGTCAATGTCGGGACCCCAAAAAGTCCTTTGTTAAAAATGCTAGTAGTTTTTCGAGTGTGGTTGGCAACATGAGATTTTTCAAAATATTTTTGATTTGTGGTAATACAAAATCGATTTATACTTGGACATGTAACACCAATTTTTTCAAAGAAGTCTTCTGTTGTCAACTGTACTATTTCAATATGAGATCTGCATATCCTACTTAGATTAGATGGCTTGATGATATCTAAGCAATTTGAGATTTTCTCGAATCATTATTATAAGTACAAACAATGTTTGAAAAATTATGAAAAATGACTGAAAATTAAGATTTGGAACGCATTGGGCGGTTCAGGCAATGAAATTTTCGAGTTCGAAAGTTGACAATTCGAAAAATTAAGTACTTAACTTTTTATCTAAAAAGTGGGCCAACTGTTTTGCGATAGTTGCCCGACTTTTTTACTATTTAATGTTTAATCCATGTTTATTTATGAGCGCAAATCAACGGTGTTTTATTAGTACTTAATTATTATTTTTATCGTGGTCAACTAAGTTGCTCACGTGAGCAACTAAGTGGTCTTCGTCTTTTTCTTGTAACAAAAATTATGCACAATGCAATTTAACTAATAATGAAATGTATTTTTATTGAGAAGTAATTTAAATAAAAGTTGCTCAAAAGTTGCCTTCGAGTCGCCCAATGTAGGTTTCGTCTTAGATAAAAATGGATATGTTTACTATACTATAAGAGATCTCTTAGTTACCAAAAGAAAAAATATAAAAATAAAAAAAAATATTGACGATAAAAAAAGAATATTACTAATTGCTTATTTATTTATTTAGATCTATTGTAAAAAGATTAAATTTTGAATACAGGGTTTTATTAAATTCGTGTGTTTTAATTTAAAGTAAAATTGGTATCAGCATCGCTAGTCCGCAGTCCACTGCTGCACTATGAGCCTCCTCTACATAAGAGGGGTTTGTCATAATCTCTGCAGGCAGGCGGGTTGGAGATCGCAGTATAAAAGGTTCAGGTGTATCAGAGAGCGCTGCTGCCCGGTCTCTGTCTAATGGGTATTCACTTACTCGGGTATACGACACCCGCGGGAAGAGGTGGTAACAAATATGTTCCACTCTATCGTCACCTAAAAATATTTATATTAATTTCTTAATTTAAATTATTATTCACGAATTTAATAATTCTCAGTATAAAAGTTGTGTAATTTTGAGAATTGGAAGTGTATATAAATATAATTATATAATGTTATTATTATATAAATGACAAGTTTATATATAACGCCCCCCTATTACATGGGACTCATCACATAACTGCTGGAAATTATTTTACTAAGGCGAACTGAACATTTATGAACCTTGTTTTGAGGGAAGAAAATCATCGAATGACTGCTCCCGCCTGGGTGAGGCGGGAGGGAGTGTCAGACTCTTACTGACTAAACACCACCCCGTTCCTACTCCATAGAGTCGGAGCCCCGGTAACTTACCGCCGTACCGGAGGCTCAATCCCCTCCCCCCCCACCCCCCCCCCCAATCCCTGAATCCCCAACAATACTCAAATTCCTAATCCCAAAAGGCCGGTAACGCACTTGTAACGGCTCTGGTGTTCCAGGTGTCCATGGGCGACGCCCATTGCTTACCATCAGGTGATCCGTCTGCTCGTTTACCGGCTTATCCTATAAAAAAACTAATAATATCTTAGGTTCAAAATGTTTAGACGCCTGAGTAAAATATAATAGTAAATTACCTTTGACCCGATTTCCGCCTTATAAAAAAGAAATCTTGATTTCAAAATCACATAATTATGTGCTTTAGACAATGTTCAACCACTGCCATCTACCTTGCGGATGTCGTCACTCAACCTAGTAAGAGGGCGTCCTAGACTACGTTTGTCCTGGTCTAATTGAAATAAATGACTTTGACTTTAAAGTTATGAAATATAATGGGGTAGACGACTAATTTTCATTTTAATGTCCGTCTGGATAGATTATTTAAAAACATTAGACACGTATTTTTTATTTTCTCACAGAAACGAATAGTTTCGAAGATATATTGATTTGAAATGTCGCGTGACGTCACTTCTCAGTACATTTTATACTAAGAAATGACGTTTTAGCCCCCACTCCTAAACTTTGATTCGTTTTATCTAAGTATTGTTTTATTATACGACAAAATAAAAAAATACGTGTCTAATATTTTTTCATTACCTAACTTACGGACTAATTATATTTTTAATTTTCATACCCTGTCATCATCCCCATTTTTAAAAGGTTTTATTTAGCTTTGTTTATTTGGGTTCAATTTAGTTATTGTAATTTTACCCCCTTCCTGACGACAGATCGATCTGATATTTGGTACACACTCTTAATCTTGATGACCATACACATTAGTACCGTTTAATATTAAAAATATATTTTATGTGGCAGCTATACATATATATATTTAAAAATAATTCATCTTATATGGTTTTGAATCGGGCATCGTTTGTATAGCTCAAATTATTTGACAAATTTAAGCTCAACTGTATATATTTAAGTAAAATGCGGCGGAGTCGGGTGCATATAACTTGTTAAAATTATGCAAGCTGAATTTTAAGTTGTTTTTTTTTTCAAAGAAAACTTTGTTATTATTATGCTACTAACCACCGGAACAAAGCTTATGTGAGCCTCCTCTACATAAGAGGGGTTTGTCATAATCTCCGCAGGCAGGCGGGTTGGAGATCGCAGTATAAAAGGTTCAAGTTTATCAGAGAGCGCTGCTGCACGGTCTCTGTCTAATGTGTAGTCCCTTAGTCGGGTATACGACACCCGCGGGAAGAGTAGCGGTAGACACAAATGTAAAAATGACTTAAAATTCAGCATATTTTTAAATAAAATTCACTAGTACATAAGTAATGTGATTCTAGATATATAAGTCCGTAACAAATGAATTTCGAATAGAATAACATTCCTATACTAAAATTTATATAAACTAGCTTTTACCCGCGGCGCTGCCCGTCTATGTCCTTCTCAGTACTCCCAAGTATATGTATGCAAAATTACAAGAAGATTGCTTGAGTAGATAAAGCGGAAAGAAACAACAAACTTACTTTCGCATTTATATTATTAGTTGGAGATTTCGACCAAAAACGCTAAAAAATATGGTCTTATTTTGGCATTGATAGCTTTAGGGACACTTCACGACGCGTCATTTGCCGAAAGCATGCATCCTACACAAAGAATGAGCTTCCTACAAATGACAAATGCTCGCATCTTCCTTCGATACAATGAAATCTGTCCACGAAGCGGCAATGTTGAACCGCTTGACGTTTGTTAAGGATGTATGCATTCGTCGGATTACGCAACCAGGGTGCTTTACTCTTGAAACCAATCTCAATGTCAATGCAATTTCAGTCCAATAAGATCTCAATAATTATTCAATGTCAACACTATACAACCACAATCGTAGCTGTTACAATAGCATTCAGAGTACGGTATATAAAGACAAACTCAATACCATTTAGTTCATTTAATTTCCACTCAGTACGGATGTAAATCTGATTCAAGAGTAAGCCCCCAGGAGGCTTACTCTTGAATCCAATTCCGATCGATCGACATTGGTATTGTGAAATTTCGTACTCTTGATACAATACTAGCGCCCATTGTATCCGTATTGCGCGGATATTGAATGAACTAAATGGTATTGAGTTTGGCTTTATATTCCGTACTCTGAATGCTATTGTAACAGCTACGATAGGGGTTGTATAGTGTTGACATTGAATAATTATTGAGATTTTATTGGACTGAAATTGCATTGACATTGAGATTGGTTTCAAGAGTAAGCACCAAGGTCAGTTACCTTTAAGCCTCTTATAGCTTTTAACGCTATGAAAAATATACCAAAATTAATATTTAAAGCAAGGATAAGTCTTGTGCCTTTGATTATGAAGCTTAATATTAAAGGGATAAGGTACAGATTTGTTAATATCGGACTGAGTAGATTTTGGTATAAAAAATGTACTTAAAAATTGTAATTTTGTGATGACAACTCTTGTCGGCAAATACTTGTTGATTGAAGAGTTGACTTCGATGGTTGAGTCGGTCGTAAGCGACTACTAATTCCCGGATTCGATTCTCTGTTACCCCGGACTTAGACATTGATGTTTTATCAAACTAACGCCTGTTTTCACCAAGCACTCCTAAACCAACTTTTAACTAAAAGTTATGCCGACGTAACACCTAAACTAACCCCTTACTTGTACTGTTAGATGTCACTTTCAAGTTTGTGAGAATCAAAATGTAGTTGGCTTAGGGGTTCTCTAAAATTTAGGTGAGGTTGATGAAAATGGGTATTAAAAGCTTTATTAAGAGCCCTAAATATGTATAAATCGCCGATATTTGGCATTAGGGGATCCCCTATTACATACGAATGATGAAAAAGGCTTATACTTTAAAAATCATTGTACATAATTATAACTAGACCAGATTTGACTCATAAATCGAATACAATAAAGCCGAATTTCGCTTGACAATTGAAACTTCACCAAAATATTGTATTCTAAATATTGTAAAAAAAATATATGGAAATTGAGAAACATGCAATTTTGTTCTTTGTGCCGTTGAAAATTAAGTTCATTATACAATAACATTGATTCTCTTGTATTACAAAATTATTATCATCCTTTGTCGTCCATCAGTCGAAAATATAGATAAAAAATACATTATGCTATCTCGTTCTTTCACTTGAAATTAGACAGAGATAGTAAGTCTACATTTCATAAAAATATAAGAAAATCAATGATATTGTTATAATCTATATTGAATCATAACATAACAGGTCAAAAGTGGGTGTTATATTGTATATGTGCACCTCTGTCTACCCCCCTCGATGATTAAAAAGGTTATTTGTTATGTCTAAGGGTGTTAACCCCACCAATCGATCGATGCCATCGCTCGATGGTAGAATGAATATCGATGATTTCTACACACCAATCGTCCGATTGTCGATCGACGATGGTAGAATAGATAAGTCAACATCGATCGAGCTACTTCAGCTCCCCATTGTCACCCACTGCCCGTCTGATCAATGTCGACCGATGCCATCGACCGGCAACCAATCATTGGTTAGTCAATCGGAATCCGTCGATCAATTAAAGCGATCATCAATCGATCAACATCGACTGATGTCACTAGATGGGACCGATCGATTCGGGTGCTAACACCCTAATGCTTTTAATGAAACACAATTATGACGAAATAATTTTACTTATAAAATTAAAATAATAAATACAACTGTAAATAGTCACTATGTGATAAAATAAAACTTAAAATATAAAATGATGTTTTTTTTATTATTGTAATAATTATTTTATATATTTTTCGTTTATTCTTATATTATTTTTAAATGATTGTTTTTTTTAAATAATGAAAATAAAATACAAAGTTTCGAATTATAAATTTTCGGCGTTTTTATTTTTTTTAATAACAATATTTATTTATCTATAAGTACATTATATGTAAGTAACAAGAGCGACTGTCGATCGTATTGATTTGGGTTCAACTCCCATGTCAGAAAATCATTGGATTTTTATAAAATTCTGTAACTTTCGACTCAAGAATTATGGCCCAAGTTTGGCATAGGACTTATATCTATTACAATGATATTAAAAATTAAATTATAACTATTACTAGATAGAATTTACAAACAATATTTGTTAAATTTTAACTACAGTTAACATTAATCTTACATACAAAATACTTTAGCGGGTCTGATGCCCAAATAGTAAAATTTTATAGTATAGGTACACTTTTTTTTTTAAGAGGGGAAAATCGCCGACTGCTCCCGCCTGAGTGAGGCGGGAGGGAGTGTCAGACTCTTACTGACTAAAAACCATCCCGTTCCTTCTCCTGCACGTCGAGCCGGAGCCCCGGTTACCCGTTAGGTTCTCCGCGACTCCGAATCAGCATCGGCCCTATTGGGCCCCATCTGTGGTGGTCTGATGGCTCTTTGAAGGTACACTAGCGTCTGATAACGGCTTCGCCCGCATTCCCGTATAATGAAAGTAACCTATGTGTTTCTCCAGACTATAATCTACCCTTGTTCCAAATTACATCCCGATCCCTTCAGCTGTTGCGACGTAATTGAGTAACAAACATACACACAAATGTTCGCATTTATAATATTACTAGCTTTTACCCGCGGCTTCGCTCGCGTCACAAAAGGATAAAAAGTAGCCTATGTGACATATACCAATACACACAGCGCCATCTATACCAATACTTTTGTTTTCCCTCGGGAATATCAATTTTTCCGGGATAAAAAGTACCTTATTATTTAATCCAGACTTCTAACTTTACGTCTGCAAAAATTCAAAGCAATCGGTTCAGTAGTTACGTCGTGAAGGCGGAACAAACAAACAAACTCACTTTCCGATTAGTAAGAAGTAAGGATATACATACAAAGATTTATCGTTTTAATTTAGTTTTTTCTTTATTTTAGTAATGTGTATAATGCTTCAAGCGTGCCTTTGCATTGTTCTCACATATGCGTACAGTATTGGAATATGTATCAGAGACATTGTAGAACATACTTTTTTAAAAAGAGTAACGAATGGAGTTTCTCGCTCGTTCTTCTCCATTCGAATCTACATTTTGGAATGAGCACCTAGCTTCACCTAGTTTCACTGACGGACTGACTGATAGACTATTATTTATTTTGTATTTGTTAACGGTTTAAAAGTACCAAATTATGGTTAAATTGAAATAAATAATTTGATATTGACTTCGAAAAAATCTCCAATACTTTATAATATAAGTACAAGACCAAAGAAGGTAATGTTAGATAGGTTATAGTGTAGACTTCTAATCTTATGTAGAGGAGGCCCATAGTGCAGCAATGGACTGTCAGGGACTGAAATGGCAAAACAAAATGGTAGCCAAAGAAATGGACCATTTTGAACAACAATAAAGGTCTTTATTTTGTAATAGATTTAAGGTCTAATTTAATTGTCTACCAAATTATTCTATTTTTAAAGATATTTAACTATCCTAGATTAGTCGTATGAATGTGACGGAAGCTAAAGAAGTATGTAAGGAGCGTAGTAGGTGGCGCTCTGTAGTTTCTGTATACCATCAGATGTATGAATGTGATGGAAGCTAAAGAAGTATGTAAGGAGCGTAGTGGGTGGCGCTCTGTAGTTTCTGTATACCATCAGATGTATGAATGTGATGGAAGCTAAAGAAGTATGTAAGGAGCGTAGTAGTTGGCGCTCTGTAGTTTCTGTATACCATCAGATGTATGAATGTGATGGAAGCTAAAGAAGTATGTAAGGAGCGTAGTAGGTCGCGCTCTGTAGTTTCTGTATACCATCAGATGTATGAATGTGATGGAAGCTAAAGAAGTATGTAAGGAGCGTAGTAGGTGGCGCTCTGTAGTTTCTGTATACCATCAGATGTATGAATGTGATGGAAGCTAAAGAAGTATGTAAGGAGCGTAGTGGGTGGCGCTCTGTAGTTTCTGTATACCATCAGATGTATGAATGTGATGGAAGCTAAAGAAGTATGTAAGGAGCGTAGTAGGTGGCGCTCTGTAGTTTCTGTATACCATCAGATGTATGAATGTGATGGAAGCTAAAGAAGTATGTAAGGAGCGTAGTAGGTCGCGCTCTGTAGTTTCTGTATACCATCAGATGTATGAATGTGATGGAAGCTAAAGAAGTATGTAAGGAGCGTAGTAGGTGGCGCTCTGTAGTTTCTGTATACCATCAGATGTATGAATGTGATGGAAGCTAAAGAAGTATGTAAGGAGCGTAGTAGGTGGCGCTCTGTAGTTTCTGTATACCATCAGATGTATGAATGTGATGGAAGCTAAAGAAGTATGTAAGGAGCGTAGTAGGTGGCGCTCTGTAGTTTCTGTATACCATCAGATGTATGAATGTGATGGAAGCTAAAGAAGTATGTAAGGAGCGTAGTAGGTGGCGCTCTGTAGTTTCTGTATACCATCAGATGTATGAATGTGATGGAAGCTAAAGAAGTATGTAAGGAGCGTAGTAGGTGGCGCTCTGTAGTTTCTGTATACTATGGGACGAAGGCGTGAGTTTCTGTATGTATGTATTTTTATATTCATATAACAACTAGTTCTGTCAGCTGCTAAGCTCGCGTTGCCGTAGGATAAAAAGCCTATGTGTGATTCCAAATCATAATCTACCCCTGTTTCAAATTTTATCTTGAGTAACAAACATACCTAACACAAATGTTCGAATTTATACAATTACTTTAAAATATTAACGTTTAATTGGGATGATGACGGGGTATGTAAATTAAAAATCTATTTAGTCCGTAAGTTAGGTAATGAAAAAATATTAGACACGTATTTTTTTATTTTGTTGTATAATAAAACAATACTTAGATAAAACGAATCAAAGTTTAGGAGTGAGGGCTAAAACGTCATTTCTACGTATGAAATGTACATAGAAGTGACGTCACGCGACATTTCAAATCAATATATCGTCGAAAGTATTCGTTTCTGTAAGAAAATAAAAATTCGTGTCTAATGATTTAAAATAATCTACCAGACGGACATTAAAATAAAAATTAGGCATCTACCCTATTATAGACGTTTAAAAATTGTTTCTTTGGTCTAATTGATACATAATTTTGACTTCAATATTAACAGTTTTCGCTCGAATACTGAAAGGCTACTCAATTGTAAATTGTACTTAAATATTGTACCGTCTCTGTCATTTCAAAAGAATTTGTAGTGACAAAAGACATGGTAAATGAACTCAAATGGCTGGCTCTATGTATGGCGACAGGCACAAAGTAGGCTGCGCGACATCGCCGCCACGCACGCTGTTCATTAAACTGTCAAACACCGCGAGGACACCGGTGACCGCAACCTATTTTCTTTAATTGTGTCTATAATGATTAATGACGGTACTCAAAGGGTTAAGAACCCCTCTGTGGTTCGAAACTAGTAGAGATTTTGTTAGTTTTTTTATGGCATAAGCCGGTAAACGAGCAGACGGATCACCTGATAGTAAGCAATCGGCGTCGCCCATGGACACTTGGAACACCAGAGGCGTTACAAGTGCGTTGCCAACCTTTTGGGGATTAGTAGTTTGAGAATCGTTGGGGATTCAGGGATTGGTGAGATTGGGGAAGGGGAGGGTAATTGGGGCTCCGGTAACCTCACTCACACGACGAAACACAACGCAAGCGTTGCTTCACGTCGGTTTTTAGTATTCTTAGTCTTAGTCTCAGTAACCCGCGATTTTTAGTTAACTAGCTTCTGCCCGCGACTTCGTACGCGTACCATCCCATTTTTTCCCGTCCCCGTTCGTGATTTTCGGAAAAAAGTTAAAAAAAAATTGGTTAAAAAGTATCCTATGTCGGTCTCCTGGCTCTAAGCTACCTCCCTACCAATTTTCAGCCAAATCTATTCTGCCGTTCTTGAGTTATAAGTGGTGTAACTAACACGACTTTCTTTTATATACAAGATTTACAGAACTATAGAGGTACTTAAGCACGATTTAAAATTCAGTAGCCTTTCATGTATTTGGACAATTTTGTTATATTATATTATTAGTTACACATGATACATAGTCAATAGACATTGGCTTATAACTCGCATGTATCTTTCCCAAACGCTCTTCAAGTCAGCTTCTCTGAAACAGAAGGAAGACATTGAGACGAGTGGTCGCAAGTTCGACTGTCGGGCAAGGGGTCTCGGATTCAATTCCCAGGTCGGGTAAAGTATTACTGGGTTTTGAAAAAATCGATTAATCCGCCATTTGTAAACCGATTTCCAAAATTCTTGTTTTGTTTGAAAGGATATACTCCCGAGATGGCCCCATTTCCATGAAGTCAGGATCTGATGATGGGATCCTAGGGAAACCGAGGGGAACTTTCGAAAATTCTATGGGCGAGTAATGCGTCTATTATGTTTTTCGATTAGGATTTTTAAACACTACAATTTGATAAGGGTCTGGAGTCGACCTGATGATGGAGCCGACAGACAGCCAAGAGAATTCCCTAAACGGTTTATATTAACCACCTTGGAATCGAACCACCTGGGTATCGAACCCGAGACCCCTTGCCCGGCACACTTGCGACCACTTGGCTAACGAGATAGTCGATAGCAGCAGTACTATGTGATCTGTGCCGACCATTTAAACAATAAAAAGCGTTATATAACTATTTACCTTAACACGTCCATCTGCAGCGCGCATTGTTCGTACGCGCAAAGGAATTGCGCTAGGTCTGTCTTCGGCCAAGATCCCAACCTCAGTGGCTCTACACATCTGTAAAGAGAAGAAAGTGCAGCAGATCATTTCCACTCCATACATTTTAGGCCCTATACTCTAAGTACCAACAAAAAAAATTGGTTGCCTGTAAAGTCGGTATACGGGCGAAAGTTTTACGTGACAACGACTTTGAGTGGTAAAATAATTTTAATGTGAATATTCATTCGTATAGTAGGAAGAAGGATGAAATAATAGTAACAATTTAAAACATTTATTTATACAAAGAATTATATTTAAAACATTACTTTATACAAAGAAGCAAGACATGAATCGGTGTGTATGCCTATCTCTCTCACTCTCTCTCTCTCGCTCTGTTTCTCTCGCTCTTAGGCGGGCTAACTGTGCTCGAGTGGAAGGGACGCGTGCCTTTCACTTTTTATGTCTGTCTCTCTCGCTCTTAGGCGGGCTAACCATGTCCGAGTGGAAGGGACGCGTGCCTTTCACTTTTTATGTCTGTCTCTCTCGCTCTTAGGCGGGCTAACTGTGCTCGAGTGGAAGGGACGCGTGCCTTTCACTTTTTATGTCTGTCTCTCTCGCTCTTAGGCGGGCTAACCATGCCCGAGTGGAAGGGACGCGTGCCTCTCACTCGCTCTCATTGTGAGCGCATAACGTGAGCGGAGCGTAACGCAGTTTCTTGAAGTGTCACCCGGCAAACCAATTCATAAGACGTTGTCACGTCAAAAAAAAAATGGTACATGTCAACGGCTGACGTCACAAAAATCCTACATAGCACATGCAAAGTTTACATGCAAATTAACACGGATAGAAAATCCCAACAAACAACTGTTAGCGGCGCCCCCACTAGACACGACCTATGCCCCGCCAACAGCTTGCTGCTCGCTGGGCTTGCCCGGCTACAGCGCGGCTCATGGCGGGGCATACCACCGGACTCGACACCGCATCGGGCCCCGCAAGGAGCCCACTAATCCAACCCCTCGCCTGCTGTAGCAGGCAGCGAGCGCAACCTCCGAAACAGGCATCGGCCTGGATCGCGCGACCTCGCGCCCCCAGCCGGGGACGCAATCTCCGGCCACCGTAAGCGCGGGCCTGCGGACGGCGAGCATGGGTGGCTCCCCGTCCGACCAGAAACAGACCCGAGCGTACGGCGCCGAGCGTTCCGCGCGCGCCTCAAAGAGCCATCAGACCACCACAGATGGGGCCCAATAGGGCCGATGCCGATTCGGAGTCGCGGAGAACCTAACGGGTAACCGGGGCTCCGGCTCGACGTGCAGGAGAAGGAGCGGGGTGGTTTTTAGTCAGTAAGAGTCTGACACTCCCTTCCGCCTCACTCAGGCGGGAGCAGTCATTCGATGATTTTGCCCTCTTAAAAAAAAAGGTGGTAGGAAACGAAAAATAATTGTCGATATTGCTTGAATAAAGAATTTGAGGTAATTGGAATGATAATGATTTTTGTTACAATGTTTCTTTTATGGCATAAGCCAGTAAACGAGCAGACGGATCACCTGATGGTAAGCAATCGGTGTCGCCCATGGACACCCGGAACACTAGAGGCGTTACAAGTGCGTTACCGACCTTTTGGGGATTAATAGTTTACAATTCCCTTTTTTTTAAGGGGAGAAAATCATCGAATGACTGCTCCCACCTGGGTGAGGCGGGAGCGGGAGGGAGTGTCAGACTCTTACTGACTAAAAACCACCCCGTTCCTTCTACTGCACGTCGAGCCGGAGTCCCGGTTACCCGTTAGGATCTCCGCGACGGGTTTCAGGGATTGGGGAAGGGGTAGAATGGGGAGGGCAACCTCACTCAACACGTGTTTCACGTCGGTTTTCTGTGAGGCCGTGGTATCACTGTCGATTTGAAGATCAGAGGATTGGGGGATTGGGGGTAGGCGGTTATTGGGGGGTGGAGAATGGAGCCACCAAAATATTATGCATACAGATTCATTTAGATTGTTTATAATGAAATATTTACCTTTCCAGAAGATCAATGAATAATGATCTCAGCTCTCTACCGCGGTGTAAGTTGCAAGCCAGGCCGACCAAGGCGCGCGTGTATAGTCTAGAAATAAACAGAAAACTATTACACATATAATAATATACGTACATACTTCATTACAATATTGTTCAAGACTAATCTTTTATTTTAATTCGGCTTTCATTAATTGAAATATTTATCGTTTGTAACATTTTACTGTTATCTTATTTAAATGTTTGTGTTTAATATAGTAATGCATATGATGGCGTAGCCACAGCGCCGTCTATTATTTGTTTTGGAACTAGGATGACATCTAGCCACAGAAGTCATTCTGTCCTGTTATAGAATAGGAGGCAAACGAGCAGACGGACCACCTGATGGTAAGCAATCAGCGCCACCCATGGACACCTGGAACACCAGAGGAGTCACAGGTGCGTTGCCGGCATTTTAAAAAACGAATACGCTCTTTTCTTGAAGGTTTTTTAAGGGGGGAAAATCATCGAATGGCTGCTCCCGCCTGGGTGAGGCGGGAGGGAGTGTCAGACTCTTACTGACTAAAAACCACCCCGTTCCTTCTCCTGCACTTCGAGCCGGAGCCCCGGTTACCCGTTAGGGCTCCGGCTCGAGAAGATACTCACGCGACTTCTTGAAGGTTTGAAGTATAGTTTATTCTATTATCTATATATTTTTCAGATTATTCCTCACCTGAAATTCAGCTCCAGTTCTTGGTAAGATTTCTCCAACAACTTCGGACGCAGACGCATGCAGATTAAACTGTAAACAATAAACTACATTTATTCATTCGCTCCACACAGGCTAAGGTCTCACGGCGCGTTATCGGCGCGCACCCGCTGCCTTTACAGATATATCTTTATATATATAATTCTTCTGTGAGTGTGTATGCCACTGAACTTCTCTCAAACGACTGGACCGATTTTGATGAAATTTTTTGTGTGTGTTCAAGGGGATCTGGGAATGGTTTAGATTCACAAATCAGCCCGGCAGATGGCGCTGCAGTCGATGTTTAGGTTATTTATCGTAAACAGCTGAACTAATTTGAATGAGTTTTTGTTTATACATTCAAGTGGATATGCAGGACAACGTCATGGCGCTGTGTGTATTGGTATATGTCACATAGGCTACTTTTTATCCTTTTGTGACGCGAGCGAAGCCGCGGGTAAAAGCTAGTGGCTGATATGACGTTGCCACTCACTGTTTATGTTCCTTCTCCTTGTCCAGCAGTATCCTGAGCTCCCTGAGCTCCAGCAGGAACTCGCGGTCCATCTCCGTGTCGTAGTACTCCGGACCTGTACAGCTGTATGTCCAGCTGGACATTATAGCCTGCAGGATATAAGGATTACATGATTAGTAGAATGTTACTACAACTGCCAAAGTTTATGTGTATGTTTGGTACTCAATTACGACAAAATGGCTGAACGGATCGTGATGAAATTTGTAACAGGGGTTATTATTCATTTAAAGGGTATGTTATTCCACACCATAATCTATTATGGTGTGGAATAACATATAGGATACTTTTTATACCACGGGAACGCGGGCGAAGCCGCTGGCAGAAGCTTGTAGATAATATAATCATAATTATGAAAAATACATTATAAAATCACGTCTTTTTATCCCCAAAGGGGTAGGCAGAGGTGCACATTACGGCACTTAATGCCACTGTACAATGTAACACTCACTTTTCACTATTTATGTTATGAGTCCCATGTAATAGGAGGTGAGACTATGGCCATATACCAAGCTCTATTCAAGACTCAGTGCTACTACTGACATTGTTTTTAAACCGCTTACAATTAACTCGTTGAGTACCGTCATTATAGACACAATTAAAGAGGTTGCGGTCACCGGTGACCTCGCTGTGTTTGACAGTTTAAGTGGGCCAAGTCGAGTACCTTTATGTCACCTTCATGGTATAAAAAAAAACTGAAAATAATAATAATATTCACCTGGGCGCAGTGGTAGAAGTCGTTGAACGTAAGATAGGTGAGTTTCCGCTTCGCAGTCTCGAACCGCATGCACGCTATGAACACCACTGCGCCGTACTTCCTGCAACATGTCGATAAAACTTCCAATTATAAAGAATCCTTACTTTTTTGTGGTAACTAGAAATTTTGAGGTATGAAAATACAAGAACTATAATAACATTTTAGGGAACAGAGAGTAGAGTTCCCTTATATCAGAAAGGAAGATCCTCCGACCAGGCGAGGTGATCGTGCCTGGCGGGCTTTCTGCCCAACAGTTGTTCGTTGGGATTTTCTATCCGTGTTTATTCGCTTGTAGACTTCACATGTGCCATGTAGGATTTTCGAAACTTGTCAAGTAATATCGTCGATAGTATATCTTTCATATTCATTTACTATGTCTTACGATTTAATATGTCCAAAATCCTTATCTTTACTAATATTATAAATCGGAAAGTGAGTTTGTTTGTTTGTTTGTTCCGACTTCACGCCGTAACTACTAAACCGATTGCATTGAATTTTTGCAGACGTAAAGTTAGAAGTCTGGATTAAATAATAGGGTACTTTTTATCCCGGAAAAATTGATATTCCTGAGGGAAAATGAAATTATTGGTATAGATGGCGGTGTGTGTATTGGTATATGTCACATAGGCTACTTTTTATCCTTTTGGGACGCGAGCGAAGCCGCGGGTAAAAGCTAGTATTATATAATAAAGAAAGTGCGGGAGCTACTTTTGAAAAGATTGGCAGAGTCGTAACTATCAATATACTATGTATGTTACGTCTGAATAGTATATGCATAGAGCAACACGGGCCACCGGCGGACCGGAGAGTATATGTAATATAATTATGTAAGTTTATTGTTATGTCATATACATGTAAGTTTATATACGGATTTATTTTATGTAAGTCTATACTATCCTTTTTTATGTATTTATGTTGATTCTTAAATACGCTTGCTTCTTGCATCGACCATTGTTTTTGTCTCTGCATCACCCAAACGTCTGGCTGGAGGACGATGCCCATGGCATTAAGCCCACCTTGTACATTAGTATGTGCATGAAGTCTTTTAAAATAAAAAATATTTCAAATATTCAGAGAGAAATCACCGTGTGATAAATCGGGTCAAACGACCGAGCCTTTGATTGTCGGATTAGAAAAGGTATAATAAACATTTTTTATGGCATAAGCCGGTAAACGAGCAGACGGATCACCTGATGGTAAGCAATCGGCGTCGCCCATGGACACCTGGAACACCAGAGGCGTTACAAGTGCGTTACCGGCCTTTTGGGATTTGGGAATTTGAGTATTGTGGAGGATTTGAGGATTGGGGAGACTGAGGAGTGGGCGTAATTGAGCTTACGAATTGAATGATGAACTCAGTTCAGATAACATAACATAACATCACGCCTTTTATCCTCGAAGAGGTAGGCAGAGGTGCACACAGAAGTGACACCCACTTTTCACTATTAATGTTATGAGTCCCATGTAATAGTGGGTCAGTCTATTGCCATATACCGGGCACAATTCCAGACTCCGTGCTACTACTGAGTTTTTTTTTAAAACCAAAGTATTACACTTTGCCCTACCCGGGAATCGAACCCAAGACCCCTTGCCCGGCAGTCACACTTGCGACCACTCGACCACCAGGCAGTCCTCGTTCAGATAATTTTAGTTATATATAAAAAGTTAATAAAATTATCTAGTTCACTCCTCTGAGTGAGCTTATAAAGTAATCTGAACTACACAATGTCGAAATATCATGACGACTCACTTCGCAAGCGGCTCGGACAGTAGGAAGGTGGTCCTGATGTTGGCGACGACGTTGCCCGGCATCTCCTCGACCGCCTTGAACACGCGCCGCACGTTGTCGAACTGTCGCCGGCAACAACGGAGCGGCGCGCCTGAACGCTCCGCTACCTGGGCTCAGCAGAAATAGTGTATATTTAAACTGTCAAACACCAAGCGGTCACCGGTGACCGCAACCTATTGTTCTTTAATTGTGACTATAATGACGGTACTCGACGAGTTAAAATAAAGTCGTGTTATTCACGCCATTTACAACTTACTAGCTTTTACCCGCGGCTTCGCTCGCATCACAAAAGTATAAAAAGTTGCCTATGTGACATATACCAATACACACAGCGCCACCTATACCAATACTTTTGTTTTCCCTCGGGAATATCAATTTTTTCCGGGTTAAAAAGCACCCTATTATTTAATCCGGACTTCTAACTTTACGTCTGCAAAAATTCAAAGCAATCGGTTGAGTAGTTACGGCGTGAAGGTGGAACAAACAAACAAACTCACTTTCAGATTTATAATATTATATATATATATACATATATATATAATATATAATATATATATATAATATAATATATATATATAGTAAGGATGAATAGTTAAATTTTTGACTGCACGGTTGGTGCGGTAGCTGGGCTACCGGCTACCGTTCAACGTGTCGCGGGTTCGATTCCCGCACGGAACAACACTTTGTGGTCCCTTAATCACCTTTGTCACCCCCTATTACATGGGACTCATAACATAAATAGTGAAAAGTGAGTGTTACATTGTACAGTGACATTCAGTGCTGTAATGCGCACCTCTACCTAACTTAACCTACCCCTTCGAGGATAAAAGCCGTGATGCTATGTTATGCATATTAAATAAAATCTAGTAAAAACAATAGACACAGTTCTAATTTACCTCGTCAAGATCCTTTCTATGTCGTGAAGACAGTTTCCTACCAAGCAGCTCCCTGATCACTGCATCGTCGAGGTCATAGTATCTGGAGACAACATATTATAATTGATACCTACATAATATCTTAACCCGTCGAGCGTCCGCGTTCCTTATGATCCAACGGGTGCACACGTGACATTTGGTGAAAGAAAGAAAGAAAGAAGGAAAAAAAGAAAGAAAGAAAATGCATTTATTTGGCCATTGGCACACGGAAACAAGGATCATTACAATAGAAATAAAAAATACAGTCAAAATAAAAACAAAACATTAATAATAGATTTTATAAAAGAGAAAGCAGCATGGAGCATTTTTTCTTATGATCCACCGGGTGCTCATAAGAACGCTCGAGGGGTTAAAATATTATACACCTGAAAAAAAAATTTCTTTCAACGCAACAATCTCTGGAACTGCTGGCTCGACTTTTATTTTATAGCATAAGCATACGAGCAGACGGATCACCTGATGGTAAGCAATCATCGTCATCCCATGAAACCTTTTTTATTTTTTTTTCCATGGACACCTGGAACACCAGAGGCGTTGCTAATGCGTTACCGGCCTTTTGGAATTAGGAATTTGAGGATATTTGGGGATTCAGAGAATTTGCGGTAATTGGTCCTCTGGTAACCTCACTCACACGATGAAACACAACGCAAGCGTTGCTTCACGTCGGTTTTCTGCTCGGCCGTGGTATCACTCCGGTCAAGCCGGCCCATTCATGCCGAAGCACGGCTCTCCCACACTAAATTAATTATAATGTTTTTTGGCTTATTCAGTAGCAGAGCGAATGTCGGCGCGTCGAGGATCACGAAATGCTACTCATGAATATGAGCCTCTAACGCGATTTGAAACTAGTCGAGTTCCTCGTCAAATAATTACGTGAATAAGCCGAAAAACTATAATAATTAGTATGTGTGTATGTGTCGTAATAAGGTAAATTTTATTATCTTAAACATCCAAAAATGCAAGTAGCGCCATCTAGTTTTTCCTTTGGAAGGTAACCGTGCAGGATGTCATTTGTTAATCTGTGTTTGCTTTTTCCCTGCTTCCTTGTCTTGGCATCGCATCATCGCTTGTCGCCGAATTGTGTTTCTTAGGTTTATAAAATAAATACATATAATTTTTTTTTTTTTCATTTGATGGGGCGACGTTTGACCACTATCTCACCTGATGGTAAGCGATGATGCGGTCTACGATGGAGCACGTCGTCTCATAAGCAACCTATTCACTCGGGCCTTGAAGACTCCCAGGTTATACCCTTCAGGAAATACAGACTCTGGCAAAGAATTCCATCCAATCCAATGTCCATCATTTATCTAAATGAGAACCAATCACTTCAACAGTATGTTTGTTACTCAATGACGTCATAACAGCTGAAGGGATCGTGATGGAATTTGGAACGTGGGATAGATTAGTGTTTGGAATAACACATAGGGTACTTTTTATCCTACAGCAACGCGGGCCAAGCCGCTGGCGGAAGCTAGCATAACTTACTTCTCAATCAGCATTTGTTTTGTGGCGTCATCGATCTGGAATATCATCTGTTCAGACAGCTTCGAGGGAACTGTTAGGAGACGCTCTAGAAGGGCGAATGTTCTGAAAATATAATAGTTATTCGGTTAATTTAAATTTAAGATTTTATAAAAAGAGAAAAGTATTACAAGTGCGACTGTGGAGTAAGCAAATCGGGTTGGATTCCCGAATCCGGCAAAATGTTAGTGCGGTTTTTCAGTAATTTCACAGAAATAGAACAGAGCCTGGAATTATACTCGGTGTATGATAATAGGCTTACCCCTTATTATAAGGACCCATTTTTTTAAGGGGTAAAATCATCGAATGACTGCTCCCGCCTGGTTGAGGCGGGAGGGAGTGTCAGACTCTTATTGACTAAAAACCACCCCGTTCCTTCTCCTGCACGTCGAGCCGGAGCCCCGGTAACCCGTTAAGTTCTCCTGACTTTGTTGAAAGAACAACATAACTCGACTAATTTCGGGCTATGCCAGGGAGCATAGTAATGAGTGCATGCGCGACGCTCACCGTGTAGTCGAGTCGAGTTATCTCAAATTTGAATAAGGAATAGAAAATTGGTTAACCAGATTCTGTGATCTAATTCAAGACGATGATGTAGTGGTTAATAACCTATATTTAACAATAATATGTACCTGTAATGATCCAACACATCGCTGGCAATGAGCTCCACCGTCGCTCCATGCTGCTTGGCGAATCCTCGCTGATGTAGCGTGGATACTGCTTCACTCGCTGCAATATTTAATTATCATCTTATATCGTATAGCTTTCGTGAGACATACTAAATTATTTTTTTAATTTCTTGATTATTCATGAGATTATTTGAAGAGGAACTCAACTAGTTTCAAGCCATGCTTTTTTTATAGCATAAGCCGGTAAACGAGCGGCCGGATCACCTGATGGTAAGCAATCGATGTCGCCGATGGACACCCGAAACACTAAGGCGTTACAAGTGCGTTACCGGCCTTTTGGGAACTGAGAATTGTGGAGGATTCGGGGATTCGGGAGACTAGGGAGGGGTAATTGGGCCTCCGGTAACCTCACTCACACGACGAAACACAACGCAAGCGTTGTTTCACGTCGGTTTCTGTGAGGCCGTGGTATCACTCCGGTCGAGCCGGCCCATTTGTGCGGAAGCATGGCTCTGTCACACTTAAAATGTTAGAGGAGAGCCATTCATGAGCAGCATTCCGCGACCCGCGACGCGGCTACTGTCGCACTGCTACATGCTACTCGAGTCAGTCGGGCCCAGCGCGCCCTCTGCCGTGATTCTAGCATGGCTTGAAGTAGTCGAGTTCTTCGTCAAACAGTTACGTGAATAAGACGAAAAACATAATAATGAACAGAAAGAAGTCATTTATAGTTCTACTAAAATGATACCTCCGACTATTATCAAAAGCAGGTGTCTTATTCAGTATTCAGTAGCCACAACTATTGTAGACAGCATACATTTTGTCATTTTGCCAAGACATAGATTAATTGTATTTCTGTTTTATTATAATACTTGTATCTATAAAGAGGTATGTAAGAATCGTAGTAATTCGCGTTCCATAGTTTCTGCCTACCCCGTGGGAGACAGGCATACAGAAGTTATGTATGTATGTATGTAGCGCGGAGTCTGGAATTGTGCCCGGTATATGGCAATAGGCTCACCCCCTATTATATGGGACTCATAACATAAATAGTAAAGGCTATTTAAAAATTAATTTATTTGTTAATGTTATGTTAATTTTGGTTTGCCCATTGTTCTTATTTGTTAATAGTAAGTAAATGATTGTTTATTAATAAAAGTATTAATTAATAAATAAACAAACAATTAGTAGGTAATGGCTCAGTTCACAAGATTAATTAATTACCTATTTTATTAAACAAAATTAATAAGTGCATAGTAATTTTAAATAATAAAAAAAAATTCTAGTCATAATTTAATACAGATGTCCATAACTTAAATTTTTTCCATGAGAAATTGATTATGTCCTTCAACATAATATAGTTGAATTGTATGCAAAATTTCAAGAAGAATGCTTGGGCAGATAAAGTGTAAAGAGATAACTAACAACTATCGGATTTATAATATTGTTTATGATTGAAACAAATAAGGAATTACCGAATATCTACTTAGAATATTTAAATATAAATAAATACAAAAAAAAAATACAAATAGTATACCTATAAGAATCTAGTTGGAATTATTTCATTTTATATGCATGTTCTACCTTAAATAAGCTATGTATCACAGTAATTAATATTCATAATACACTCTTTACATTAGGAACTGACTAAATATAGATTTAATATAAGATTTTGTAACGATAAATTAACGATAACGATATCGTACTTAAACGGGCAAAATACTTACAGGAACAGCCTTCAATCCACAGTTGGTATATTTCAGGATCAATTAGAGTATAATTACTAACGAATACATCAACTTCTGTGTACATTTCTTTATATTTTTATTAATTTTTCGTAACCCAAAACCAGATCACTATTTATGTCCAAAATATGATTTTGACACTGACGTTAAATCAAAGCACAATGTTGCATAAACTAAAAATAAACGGATAAGTTTAAAAAATATGGATCAATTAATAGACTTTCAATTTTATATTAATACATTAAAGTGTAAATTTTATTAGATTCACGATTTTCTGACCGAATTTCGCCAAAATTGAGCACAATGTTGTCCGGCCCCGCAGTGTAATCCTCTCTTATATTGGAGAGTGAAGTTAGCAACAATAACAGTATAATTTGATAATGTTATTGACAGATCTGTTAAGTTTGTTCTAAAACCACGATCAAAAGACTTTTTTAACAATTGAAATAAATAAAACATATTTTTATAATAATTTATTGACAGACAGTGAGTAGTGGAAAATTTATTTCATTTTATTTTTATGTATTTAATTGTATACGTTATAAAAATATCTGTTTTGTTGATGTTTATTATCGGAATAAAAAAGGAACTCAAGAAAAAAATGTTAGTCTGTAGTCAAACGTTTTCGAACACATATCAATACGATTGATTTTTCTCAAGTTCGCGATCATAAAATTTAATAAAAATCTATGAAATAAATGTGAATTTGAAATTTGAATCGTAAAATAATTATGTAAGTACACATAAACATTGATTAAACTAACAACATTGAAAAACACTAAATAAAACCTGTACTTTACTGGTAAATTCAGTGCTAAAGCGTCGTAGTTTTTTTTTGTTAAGTCCAAAAATAGACATGTCTGGTTCCAACCACGGTTATTCGCGTTATTTGTTGTTATATTGCTTATTAGGTTCAACAATGAGTTCTATGTTGATAGCGACCGCTTATCGGCTAAGTAACCGGCAACAAGAAAATTGATTTTGTACTTGAAATAGTAATATTTCAAATGCTGTGAATTTCGGAATGTTCTTATTTTCATCTTAAATGAGATAAGAGATGTAATAAGTTTTGAGATTAAGTGAGTTTCGGTTAGTTTTTGTTATCAAGTTATTGTTTCATTGCTGACTAGCTTTTGCCCGCGACTTCGTCCGCGTAGAATATGAGTTTTAGGACATAATTTTATGTTTTAATTTTCCAAAATAAAAGTAGCCTATGTTACTCCTTAGTACGTCAGCAGGCCTATAAAAGTCCCGTCAAAATCGGTCCAGCTATTCCAGAGATTAGCCAGTACAAACGGACAGACAGACAAAAATTTTAAAAAATGTTGTTTTGGTATGTGTATTGTATGTATATTGTCGCGGAGAACCTAACGGGTAACCGGGGCTCCGGCTCGACGTGCAGGAGAAGGAACGGGGTGGTTTTTAGTCAGTAAGAGTCTGACACTCCCTTCCGCCTCACCCAGGCGGGAGCAGTCATTCGATGATTTTCCCCCCTTAAAAAAAATTGTATGTATATTAACATTAATATGTATGCAGTAAAAAGCGGTTATTTTAATACTACAAACAGACGCTTCAATTTTATTTATCTGTATAGATAGTGGTATGATTTAGAATATCCACAACATTGCGCCCTTTTATCCCCCTAGTGTATAGAGATGCACATATAAAATGTAACACCCATTTTTCACAAGTTACCCATGTAATAGAGAGTGCATCTATTGCCATATACTGGGCACAATTTCTGACTTAAAAGCTACTACCGAGCTATTTTCAAAGAACTGCAAACCTACAATCACTTTACTCGATTCAGGAATCGAACCTGTTATGAACTATGCCTTAAAATTGTAAATTGCAATTTAAGCAATACCTATAACATGTGGCACTTACATGTGCATGCATATTTGCCAACTAATGGATAACTCTATCACTGTAATTTTAATACGGCCATGTATGATAATATATAATATATAGCGCAGTCGCTGTTACTTTATAGACACGGTTCAGTAAAAATATTCAATCACTAATACTTTTCTATATCATTAGCACACCGTAATTATTGTAGCAAGTCAAAAATTGTGAAGTCTTAAATAAAGTAGTTATAAGCAGCACTTGTGGTGTTAATGTGAAAGGTACTCCTGGAATGCCATCCTAGGACCTCCTTTCGATGCTTGCACAAGACCAATGAAGCAAAGCTAATAAAGTCAAAGTCAAAATCATTTATTTCAATAGACCAGGACCACTTTTGAATGTCAGCAATAGAAATTTAAAAGTGACGCTATTTGCTCATTCCAAGGCGTAGATTCCTATAGAGAAGAGCGAGCAAGAAACTCCATAGGTTACTCTTTTTCAATCATGTGCACAATACAATTCTCCAGTTACAGTTTTATTGGTTCGATTGAGCGAGAAAAATGTAACACCAAAATCCAGTCAAAGAGCAATATGAACTAAAACAATATTTTTTATACATCCCGACTGTACATATTATGTTAGGTTTTTTTAAAAATAAACTAATTCTAATCTAAATCTGTTCACAGATCATCATGTCGGAGACCAGTGAAAGTGACCAGCATGATAATGACATGCTGAGCATGTTCGCCAGCGTCTGGGTGAAGGTGGAAGTCGAGGAGACGGATGACAACCTGCCTGAGTTGGAGTCTGATCAACAGGTTGAAGTGTAAGTACTGTGGACAATGATCGCCATACATCGTATATAACACAGGTCATAATGCATACCAGAGGTTTATAATGACCATACAGAGTCTATAAGTTCAAGTGTGGGAGAGCCATGCTTAGGCAAGAATGGGCTGGCTCAACCGGAGTGACACCACGGCCTCACAGAAAACCGATGTGCAACAACGCTTACGTTGTATTTCGTCCTGTGTGTGAGGTTACTGGAGGCCCAATTAAACCCCTCCCCAGTCTCCCCAATCCCCGAATCCTCCACAATCCTCAAATTCCCAATTCCCAAAAGACCGGACCTATAAAAAAAGCATCAAGCCAAATGGCACACTTACCTCCACTCAGAAATCTTAAAATATCTCTTTATAATACTCTGCTGAGCCTATAGAATGGGATTCAATCGAAATTCAACCGAAAGATTGCCCAACAAAGGCCCCTCTCCACACTGTGCTGAAAACATGCTGCCCTCATCAAACGGCTACCTATCAGTAATTATGATGTTGTCTTCCATTTGATAGCTATGTAATTAACCGACTTCCAAAAGTAGAAGGTTATCAGTTTGACCTCTATTATATTGTGATATTGTTATAATTGGATATTTTTGAGTGTAATGATATATTTGTACCGATCGAATTCTGGGTCGGGATAAGCATTACTGGGTTTTAAAAAAATTCTCAGTACTAGTGTGGAATCTGGAATTGTGCCCAGTCTATGGCAATAGGTTTACCCCTTATAACATGGGACTCATAACATAAATAGTGAAAAGTGGGTGTTACATTGTACAGTAGCTTTAAGTGCTATAATGTACACCCCTGTGTACTCCTTCGGGGATACAAAGCATGATGTTATGTTATGTGATCTATTTGTTTCTGTGCACCTCTGTGTTTTGTTAGGTCTTCATTAGTAATAATCAGAGTATATTCTAATAACAGTGTACATCAAAATCCATTAAATTAGTTTTTAAGATATGATTTATTTTGGTTCACCATTTTTGCCAACGAGTAGGATAAAAAAATCTTTCCCTTTCTTACCTTAATATAAAATTAACTCAATTTATTCTATAATTCCAGACCGACCCCAAAAAAGAAGAAAAAGACACCTCGTCCGACACAGATTTTGAAATGTACATTCTGTGATTATACAACCGTCTACAAAAACTGTTTGAAGCTTCATATAATGGGGCATAGCAACACTAAACCTTATTCCTGCGACACTTGTAACTATACTACCAAGTACCCAACCTCCTTGCACAGGCATATGATAATACAACACGATTTCAAAGTCACCGATCACCTACAAATGCAAGTCTACCAGTGTGAAATGTGTTCGTACTCATCATATTTTAAGTGGAACTTGAAAGCGCATACAAGGAAACACACCGCTGAGAAACAGTACAAATGTGAGCAATGTAATTATGCTACTGCGTACAGACATAATTTTAATAAACATCATAAAGTTCATAATAAAGAAGAAATGATGTATAAATGTGATAAGTGTCCGTTTGTCACTAAATATGAAGGTCATATTGCCAGGCATTTGGCCAAAATTCACAATGAAGTGTCCGATAAGGCAAGGAAGTGTGACTTGTGTGATTTTTCAACGAAAGTCCAATGGAGATTGAACGTTCATAAACGGAGAAGCAAACAGAACAGTGTTTTGAAGTGTACATTCTGTGATTTTGAAACGAGTTATATGTGTGAGTCCAAAAAGCATAAATCGATGCATTTTGATGATGCACATGAAATAAAATTGAACGAATCAAGCGGAGAGATTACCGTTGGATCTGGAGCTGGACCTGGAGTAGTAACGATACCGCTACCAGATGAAAATGGCACTGTTCATGAGAAGTTTCATAATTACACTTTGGACCCCAACTGTGAGATTGATTGGCATAACATAAAAGTTTTAGAATCAAATTCTAAAGATCGTCCGTTCCAGTGTATCATGTGTAGCTATACATCAAGATTTAAAGCGTCCGTACAAAGGCATTTTCAACGGCACCACACTGGCAGCTTACACCGTCCATACAAATGTGTTAACTGTGATTTTTCCACTAAAACTAAAGATCAGATCGCTCTACACAATAAAAGAAGTCAGTCCGAGACAGAATTGAAGTGTGCTGAGTGTAATTATGTGACCTTTTTCAAATGTCAGTTTGCAACGCATCAAAAATGTCATTATGCACATAAGTGTCCAGACTGCAATTTTACTTGTAAGCAAAAGTATGATTATCAAAGGCATGTGGCTACTGCACATACGGGGAATACGTTGCAGTGTCGATTTTGTGACTATAAAGCGGTGAGAAAAGAGAGTTTGTTGTGCCATGAGACGATACACACTGGTAATAAGCCTTTTAAATGTAAATTTTGTAAATATACCACTGTCCGG